GGCCCTGCGGCGCCAGGGAGCGGGCGGGAGGGCAAGCAAGAGGCCGCCGGGAGGGGCGCGGCGGAGAAACTCGCCTCCTCCCGAGCAGGCAGGGCGGCAGCGGCTCCTTCGGGGCGGCCACTGCAGGGGCACGTTCTGGCTTCCCCGAAGATAACATCGCTTGACTTTTAGAACGTGTTGTTGTTGGTACTTACTCAGACAGTAAGTGGTTCGGGACAGGGGCCCAGGCATATGTTTGGAAAACAGTAAAACCACCTCAATGAAATATTGAGGGGGGGGGAATTGCCACCTTGATAAAGAGAATACAGCCTTTTCATTAATTTACGGGGGAAAGGGGAAAAAAAAAACCACACCAATTTCTTAGGAGACAGGTAGTAATACCAGCGTTTCTCCATCAAATCTAAGGAATTCAAAATTTCAATGCCATTCCCCTCATCATCAGTGAACATTCACTCTATTTGCTGTTACACTCCTCTTTCTATCATAACTTCAGATGTATAATACACTTCAGCATGCAAATTGCACAGGTAGAAAAGAAACCCCTGTGATTCTCTCAGGTTGCAACATTGTACGTATAAAGACAGAGTTTAGTAACCATGCAACCTCTTAGGATATATCCATACAAGTTGCTGAAACAATGAATTCTTTCTCCAAATGCTTCATAATTTACAGAAAATTAACGAGTGTGCAAGAAATGATGCAGTAGGAGTCTGAAATGGCACTTGCCAACAGCCCACTGGATGATTAGCATATCCAGTTTCTGCTCCTGATTATTAATTCTTAATCTCAAACAGACTCTGGAGGCAGTTGGCTACTGTACAACTGCTGGACATTCAGGTTTTTCCTGCCTCCTTTCTGTTCAGCACCTGCTCACATGCTGAGCTGCTTAGTTTTGAAAGTGTATAGTCTCAGCTCCTACTTAAACCCAAGTGAGTTTAAAGAATCAGTTGCAGATCTAGGTCTCAAATCAACAAACAAGTATCTGGCCCCTCACATCCAGCTGCAGGATGCATTCCTCCATGCGTATTTATGGGGCAGGGACAGGAGGGTAATTGCAAAATTGGAGACTAGAACTAGGACCTTCACTGCTAGCACAGGAGTCACCTGCAAGACTAGAGTAATGCCCACTTCCCTTCAGAAGAAGCAGAGTAGCATCATCCACTTTATACTACCAACTAGCTGTTACAGCTTTTCCCCAAAAGGCCTGCATTTCCCAAAGACATTTGAATCTGCAGGCTCAAGAAGGCCTAAATGAACCAACCTGCCCCACTTTCTTCATCAGTACTTACTTAATAAATTATTATATAAAAAATAGGCACTATTCAAGATTTAAAAATAAATCAGAGGCTAATCCTTTCTAGCTGTTCAAAAAAACAGCAATGCGTTTCTGTCTTTAGGAGATGACTCCCTCCTTTGGAAGCCAGGGGCATACACACAGGCTGGAGGCTGGCAGGGTTTGAAGACTTAAATCAGTGATTGCCTTTCCCACCGACAAAAATCTGTGTGGCCCCTGACAAGCACCCCACCTGTACTGGATTCTGCACTAAAGCACCTCTCCACATGCAGTGCCAGGGAGCTGAATCTCAGCACTGAGGATTCTAGGATCCAGGATCTAAAATTCAGGAGTTATATATCTCAAGCAAACCAAATCCTTTCTGTAATCTATTTTCTATCTGCCAGGGCAGTTGAAAGCTAAAGGGATTAAGTAGTGGAAAGATAAAATAGAGGGGTTTTTTAAATTTATTTTATAAAGACCACCTGTATGTAATCTCATTTACAAAGAAGTCATTTGCAACTCATGTTCAAGATAATGTTTAAATTTTTTTAGCATTAACAATGCATCATAAATGTGATTATTCTCATGAAAGTATCCAGGTAACAAAACTTACTTTCTTGGAATTGTACAACAGGGAAGCAATTAAAAGCTGTCCCAAAGTTTTGGGTATTTGAAAATCCCACAGATCAGATCAAGCACAAAACAAGTATCACAAGCTGCTTCTCTGTCAGCAGTGAATATAACATAAAACAGTACTTTTAAAAGTAACTAATCTGAACACCTTCAGCTCCTCATTTAGACATCTGTTGCATGCATCAATTCCTTAATAAACTCATACAGCACAAATGTAGCTTGTGTACAAATAGCTAGGTCCTTTGATTTCTATACATGTGTGACCCTAATGATCTGCCTAACCATGGAAAAGAACATACTGGAAAACTACATGGACTGGAGTCTTGCCCCACTCAACAGCTCAAAATGGTACATATATTTTTGCCTAGTTCAGGACAATGTAAGTGGTGCTATTAATGGAGAAACTTTAACCTTGAGTTGTTGAAAACAACAATAATAATAATGAAAAAAAAAAAAAAAAACAACAGAAAATCTTTCTAGCCATGTATTTCAGTAGATAATGGAAACAGAAGAAAACAGAGTACAGTACAATCATGCTAGGTGACATATAGGCTTCAATCAAAAAATATTTTTTTTAAACCTGAGGACTAAGATTTTGACTATTAAATTACAAGATTTTTTTTTTTTTCCTTCCTAAACAGCCTAGGCTACCAATAACAAAATATAACCATAGATACATTGAATAATAAGTATATTAGGCTACAGTCATTTTGATCATTATGCTACAAGAGAGTTAAGATTATCCCCAAATCAGTAGGTTACTGACATTTAGAATAATGTTCAAGTGAGTAGAACATGAAATGAAGTTATCTTAGTAAAAGTATATCCAAAAATCTGTGATCTTTGATGAAACACCATACCTTGACAGATTAACATACATTCCTTTCTTTAAAGTAATATAGTTTGTAAACACATGTAATAATGTTTCTGTATTAACTATATTAATAAGCTTTAGATTCCATAAACAGTACTTACTGAAGATTCATTCTTTCAATAAAATGCAACTGACAGTCTCAGCAACTTACAACATTTAAGGTGAAGTAATTTTTTCCCCCCTCGGTGTTCAGACTACTCACTACTCATCATACATATTTTCCCAGTGAGTATCTTTATTTTCATGCATCTTCTAGAGATCATCTATCCTTTGACTTCTTATAGAACAGACATGAACAAGTTGTTGAAAAAATGCCTTTTTTTTTAAATCACTGATCAATGCTGCTTCCTTGTTCCCCCAAATTCTGAATCTCAAATAACTTATGCTAAAAATACAAATTCTGTTTTGGAAGAAAACATACCAAATGTACATCATGTAGTGTGTGCACCTAAATATCTTGATTGTCAAGTAGTGCAAGTTTTCACTTTGACATATACATTTTTTGGTTTTAGAGACAAGAATTTTATTCACTGATCTTTGCTGATCCCATTTCTTGCCATCTTTGGTAGTCTTTGTCCCTTTGTGTAAGCGTGGTACCAGAAGTGGAGGAACAAGACTAAAAACATAGAGCCATATAGCCAAATAATAAACATGAAAATTGGATACTGGTACGGACAATCATCCATGATGTAGATTTGTCCTATATGGACTGTAATCATAATAAACTGGACCTGGAGAAAAAAGGTGAAGAAAAGAAATATTTTTTAAATAAATGACAAACTGAACACAGGAGTTTAGAAAGATTCAGCATAACTTGTAAATAGAAAAACAGAAGGGAGGGGTCTTTTTAAAATTACAGAGATGCACCTTTTTAATGCTCCTCACCCAAAACCTTACTCCACTGAAAAACATGTTCATGGAGTAAAGAAAGGAAAGTCCTGGGATGAACTGAATTACAAGCAGCACTTGAGAATCCCATACTAGGACAATGGGAGTCTGCATTGGCCAGTTCAGAGAATAAAGGAGGAGGCAGTCAGTGTTTGACCAGTGACAAATGGGAGGCTCCTTTAGAAAAATTAGCCAGAAAAAAAACCAAAAAAAGTAACCATTACATGGTTGGTGAATATGAATTCCCACCTTCATTTCACACTAGCATGTGACATAGAGGCCTGCAGGTCCCCCCCCCCCAAAAAAATTTAATGGAAGATTTAAAAGAAAAAATTTCCACATGAACTCCAAGTTAATAATCCACTGCTAGTGCCTCCAAGACAAAAGACTAAGTAAGTTACAAATATGCAAACTAATTTGTTTAGAATTACACATGGTTTTGTGAATTATTCTATTAATGCCAAACCTGGTGCAAGCAGACAGCCATGGCTGCTTCTCCCTGCTCCTTTCCATCTTCCATCAGCATACTTGCTCAGGCCAAGCTAATTGTTTAGCCAGAAGCTGAATTTTGAAAATTCGGCTATTAAAAAACTGGGCATGAAAAGCACCTGGAGCATTAACCTTTTGAAAGTGATCTAAGGTTGATAAAACACTTAATGTAATTACTGCAAGAGTGGTTTTTAATGCTCTGAGTTAGAGAGGTGAAATCTCTAAACATAAACATTTCCTGTGAAAGAGCACACCTGAAATTCTAAAGAAAGACTTTACTTCCTTTCCTCAGTACTAGTCCCATGTGTATTCTGTACATTAATTATGTTTTCTTGGTGTAAACTTACATTCTAATCATTTTTACACAGGCAATGAGTTTTGTAAATATATTTATCAAGTACTGTATAACTGTAAAGATCATGTGTCTGGATGTGCGATTATAGTGAATGCTGAAGTCAGCAGATTAAATATGTAACTGAGGGGAGCTCATGACTTTTGTTTTACTCAATTAAAACATGAGTAAACTTTGTACCAACTGTAAGCTACACACATGAACATAATTAAAAGTACAAATGTACTGCATTTACAGTTAGCCACAATTAGCTTTGAGAGGTGTTTATGTCAAAAAGAAAGTTACTCACAAGTTGTATAGTTGTCATGTATTTTTTCCACCATAAATATTTATGATAGGCTGGTCCCAAAGAACAGATTCCATAATAAGTGTACATGACAACATGGACAATACAGTTCAGCAAAGCATGAAATGTTCCTAAACCACCTGTAGAAAACCAAAATATAGTAGTAGTATTATTGCATCAGGTATGTAAAAGCCATCTCAGGTCCTAGTACTTTGTTCTGAGTCAGGTTAGAAAAAAACAAAAAAACAAAAAAAAAAAACAAAAAAACACAACAACACAAAACCTACAGACCACTGATTCTGATTTCTTTCTCAGAAAAGACTTATCTAAGCATTTCCAAAACAGCTATAAAGCTTAGCTGATCTAATAATCTGTAAAAGGTTTTAAATGAATTTTTTGTTCTTTGGTTCACTTTTTAATATTTTTAATTCAAACATATAAATGATGGAGATGCAGATAATTAGTAGGAACAGTATTTCTCCTGTTTTACATCTCTTTTCTAGACATAATGCTGAACTTTGTGATGTTCTGGAGGATAAATAATAATTCTCTCCCCAACACAGATTTCCAGATTCCCAGGGAAAGAATCACAGTTTTAGACAGTAAGTTTTTGGAATCATTACCTAAATGAGTGTCTCATGAATCCATTGTCCATCTCAAAAGCATTCTTACAGTGAGAATGAAATTTAACGCCAAGTAGCCCCATTTCGGGCAAAATCATGACTTAAGCTAGTGAAATAGGAACATTTCACAAACCAAGTAAGGAAATTACTTCCTTTTCTATTGGATCAACTGTGGACTTAGATGAAGTAATTTTAATGAACACAAGTAATTATAGGTAAAATGATCCAAGAAGTGGCAGACAGCAAAGTATTTTTAAGAGAAATATAAACATAAAAATACTGAGCATCAGGAAGAAAACAAAATTACATAAAAGCAGACATTTAGTGAGGGGGAAAAAGCTAATTTTCCATTGATTTAATCAAATTAAATATAAAATATATTTTGTGACTTTAGTAGCTCACACTAATCTTCCAGCTTGATAGATCATAACACCTCCAACTGTGATCGCAAACTTTCTTTGAAACTTAGCTATTTATATTTTTAAAAATAAGTTGAGTGTTCTTACAGTTCAAACATACATACTTTTTTTTGGCTTGTACAGTGAATATTCAGAAGAAAAAATAAATACTTAAAGCAGAGAAAAAAACCTAATCAACAGTACAAAACTATACTCCAAAAAGCAACAACATACATAAGCACCATTTCCCTGTTTATAACAGATAAAGAGAAGAATCAGTATCTCCATTCAAACCCATTGGTTTTTTACAAACAGGTTGAAGACTTGATCAATGTCACTCTTCAGAAGGACACACAGTGATGAAACTGAATAGAAGGTAATCAGCAGCAGGACTGAAGTGCTCGGAAAAAAAAATGAAGCTATCACACAGAACAATATTTGGAAAGATTAGTATAAAGATAAGCAATAGAGTTGTAGGAATACACACAGCTCTGCATGAGTATGAGGAACTATTATTAGCAGAGGACAAACCAGTTCTTGCACACTTTGCTGAAAGCATTTGTGAAATTATCACATGGGAAATTTGAATCTGATGCAAAAATCAGAAGCCTGTAGCTGGTATACTGATCTGAAGTCCAGATAAAATGCAGAAAGTTAATCACCTATAAATGGAAACTTTTCAAGGTTGAAAAGGAGGGACTGTTAGTTGCTGGGTTTTGGGTTGATTTTTTTTTTTTTTCCAGATCTATAAACACACTGAAATGTATGCTGAGAAAGCTATTCACAATTTCATCATCAACTTAAAATACCAGTTACTCAGGAACATTTGATAAAGACAATTAAGGTATCAGCTTCCTAGTAACAGAAACTCAACAAATACAGCAGAATTATATCCTTTTATATACTAGGAAAATCTGCACACTGCACATGTTCAAAATATCCCACTTACAAATTTTCTGGCCTGCTTTGTATTCATAAACAGATATTAAAAGATCAGATTTAATAAGCAGTGGTTCTCTTCATCTATTCATCACTGATTTTCTGAGAGAAAAAAAAAAAAAACAACATGCCAGAGAACATGAGCGAAGAAACATGGGCAAAACCTCCTATTTTTCAGTAGAAACAACCTCACATACCTCCTAGAGATGGACTACTAAAAGACTTAATTTCTCCACTCTGTGTTTACCAGACTATTCTCATGGCAAGCTATATTTATTAGTGGCGCACACTAATAATGTATCATAGGAAGATGCATGCACAGACACATAGAACAGGAAAGGAGAAAGTGAAGGTAAGCTATAAGTGGACAAAGACTTTCAATTCAGTACAATTCAAATAAGTTTCTGTAATAAGTAAAGTCCAGAAAAATATTTCTGTCATTTTGTGAAAGCCAAAGTGTTAAATGTAAATAAACCCCAATTATGCTACCTAAAGCCAGTAAAAAAAACTGCATCAAAGCCTGAATAATTTCTTAAACAGATGAGAAAAAAAGAGAACACAGTCCTCCCATCCAACTCACTTCTTACATTTCAGGGGGACAAATGGCTTTGAAGTAGTTTCAACAGTTATCTACCTCATACGTCTCTCCTAGCATTTCTGACTTTGCAGTCACATTTCTTTTTCATGTAATAATGCTCTGCTTATATACAGTTCTCTCCTCTGCACCTTCCCACGCCATGAGAAACCAACACTGCATGAAATGCTGTTAAATAGGAAAGATGAGTACTCCCCACCCATTTAAATAATTATGATCTCAGACGTTCCATGAAATACTGCAGACATCTAAATTTAAAAACACTGATGTTTGCAAGGTTTTTAATTCTGGTCTATTTCTGTCTAGCATAATTAACTTTTACTACCAGAAGACAGGTACAACTTAAACTCTCTCCCCACTACCTGCAGCAAATTTGACTCCAAACCACCAGGTCCATGGCATGATGGAATGATGAAAGACATGCAGGAATGTAACTTGGTTGTTTTTCTTACGCAGCACAAAAAATATCTGAAACAGATTTTTAATGAACAGAATGTTACAGGAGATAATTAAGCCCAGCATACTTACAGAAAACTGTATGCATCAGTTTTCTCACTGGTTGCTCACTACTATACGTTTAAAGATTTTTCACAGTTGCAGTCTTGGGAGAAGCAAAACAGGCTCTGGATATGCAGGCTAGTTTTAAAAAAAAAATTAAGCCAGTATGCAAACTCCACCTGTAGAGTCTGAAAAGCCAGGGCAAGCTCTGAAAGCAGATGTCCAAGGTTGAGCCATCACCTGCATGTGCAACAGACAGCATAAAATGGACTTGCTTGGATTGAGAAGTATCTAGAAGCATCAGATTTTAAGTTCCCTGAACTACTAATGCAAGGCCATTTGAGAAAATGAACCAAAAGATGAGCAACAGATAGAGACAGTAGAAAATAGTAAGTTACATAAATAGCACTTTACACACACACACACACATATATATAAATATATATATATATATATATATATATATATCACTGACTTAGCATTCTCTGGAAAAGGCAGAATTGAACAAAATATATGTACGTATTCTTAATCAATATTGACAAGCCACATTTTAAAGGACAGATATCAAGGGTACTGTTAAGGGAAGTCTTAAGAGCAAGAAAACTCTGTAAGGAGAAGTAAGGTCATGCAAAGGGTAGTATCAAATGGTGAGCAAATGAACACAGAAGAAAAGAAGTCTGATGTGCCAGGGAAAACATTTGGCAAGTTTACTTAAAGACAGTTAAAAAATTACTTCCACAATAAAACCAAAAAGCTGCTGAGAAACAGGTACCTGATTGGGCAGATTCAAACAAACCTTTTGTTTTGTTTTGTTTTTTAATTTTTTAATTTTTCAGTCCCAGGACTAATTAAAAATGAGCAGACTAACCAGTGGATAATGAAGGTAAATAGAGGACTAAACTTGTCAGGCTTTTCCAGTTTTAGCATTCCTGGCCCTTCCATTACCATTCCATTTGGCTCAGTCAGTAAGATCTTCCAGTGCTGAATCATGGGCATTTGGAGATGAAAGTCAGATGGCTAACTTTGCTCCCAGGGTGTAGAACATCCTAACTGCTCATGAGTCAGATCCTGAATCATCACTATAGTGCTCCACATAACAGGGCAAATGATATTGCAGCTGGTTCCAACACTCAGAAGCTGGTTTGAAAATAGCTAAATCAATCCTACTAGGTGTCAGTCTCAGGAAGAAGGTAAGGCAGATGGCTGCTGGTGGTGAGTAAGGTCTGCACTCTGCTTCAGTGCATTGATGCTCAGACTTTCTTTGAAACAGGTTAGAGTGACAGCCTGATATCAAGCACATCTAAAGTTATGACCCTCAAAACATACACAGGAATTTAGAGCAGGTAGGTATGGCAAGTTACGCTGTATTCAGAGCTACTGATGCAAATGTTGAGAACGTGGAAAATAAAATTTGAAGATGATGTGGAAAAAATTCAGCATGATCAACACTGTTTATCGTCTGCAGTGTTGAGACAATATTGCCATAGCACAACAGGGTAGTGTATTCAGCTGTTAAAGAGACAAGTTATCAGGGCTTCCTAAATCTTTAAAGGTGTGTTCCCTCATTAAAAATTTTCCTGATAACCAAGGAACAACAGTGTAATAAAACAATAAGATGAGCAGAGATAATAAGAGTAAACACCTTGATGGTATTTCAATAATGGAAGGCAGAAGAACTAACTAAAAAGCCATTTATGTCCCCAGTCCCCAACAGCACCAGTTCCTCTATTGTGAAAAGGAAATATCTGTACTTCTTTTATTAGGCTACAAATACTTACAGTGTCTAATAATTCAATGAACTTGGAAAAGTAGTAAAGCCAACAAGTTCGTACCATCTGCAAGAGAAAAAAAAACAGAAATTGTCTAATCATAGTAGTCATAAATAAGACTAAGTAGCTGCAGGAAAAATAAGTGACTAAATAAAGGAAAGTATTAGGACAAGTAAGTGGTGTCATAAAGTTGGCAAAAATATTTAAATGTATAGTCTGTTTGGTTTTTCTTTAAAAACAAACACCAATTTTTAATCCTGAAGGAATTTTAAAACCAAGAAGAACAAGCTAACAAATACGTTGCCTCTTCCTTTCTCCCAAACCACCAACCAGCTAACTCATGCACCACATTATGAAAGAGGGCATTTCCATTTAGTGCATTCCACTCTACAACAGTGCATTTGGTTGTTCAAAAAGCATTTATAAGAATAAAGTCAGTGTGGCATAACAATTTAGCTTTGTGCTTGGCAACTTACTCTTAGAGCTGTAGGTGACCTCGAGTAGTCAACAATATCGCACCGGAATGAGTACCCTGTGGCCCAACCTGACATAAGAAACTGAAGCAAAGAAAAGGGAAAAGGCAAAGACTTACTTCGTGTCTTTTGAAAAATTCATTAATTTCGGATTACTATTGCAATCACTAAGCAGGAAGGGGAAACAATATTAAAAACTTGTTAAATCAGCAATCTCGTCAATCATGTGGTCTAGCTACCATGAAATCCTTTGCTATTGCAGATTAATGAATTTCTAATTCCAGGACTACACCTATAGACAGGAACTTTCTTCTTACAACTATTATTGCAGCATTAGTAACCGAAGAGGAGAAACAGCTGCATCTCAAAACCAGAATTAAAAAGGCATTTTACTGAGAAAATCAGACCATAAAAACAAACATTCTGAAATTTTAAAAGTTGCTATCACAGCCAACGATCTTAATACTGAAAAGAAACCAGCACAGCATCTTAATACTGAAAGAAAACCAGCACAACAGAAACATATGGCTTAATATCATTGGAGACAAGGAACAAATCAATATGCACTGTATTTTCAGTTATCATTGTTTCTAAAATTTTGCTTAAACTGCATGGTTGAATTAGCCTTTCACTGATACCAGCATGAAAAGTTAGGGTTTTACAATTGAGAGCACATATACCACCAAAGAACTGCACATAACAAATATAATTTAACCTTTTCTCTTCGAATACATTATAGCTTGAACAAGAGCAATATTGTTAATATTATACTTGTCTCATTTCCCTGCCAGCTACTAGGACTACTGTATCTTATATCTGTTTATAAAGTGCTTCTCATCCATTGATCATCATCCACTCATGCACGATAGGAGGTTCAGCTCTCTTAAAAGATGGAGGGGTTTAGTCCATTTAACTTCCTAAAAGAATCAGTTGCTTAAATAAAACAAGATTTGAAACAACATCAAGACAGCACAATACTAAAACACCCACCAAATGGCTTGGTTCCAAAGAGGAAAAGAATCAGCTTTTTGCTGACCAACAGACAATAGCAGAAATTCAATCTGTTACACTCTATCCATGCATTCTTTCACAAAATTGTAACATGGAATTCTTGACAGCAGGTTAATTGAATACTGTGTTAGTGTCAGACACTAATAAAAGTTTAATATTGTTTTTTGTTTCTGAGGGTTATAACCAAATCCAAACTGGGCATCAAGGGAGTTTGGTGATTTTTCAAAACAAAGTCTAAATAGCAAATGTGTTCGTCTTGTCCACCACTTTCCACACAACAGTCATGACAAAATAGCTGCTTTGCCTTTAGAGCGCTGTTAGAAGAAATGACAAGCAGTTCACTATCTCATGATGAAATTTATGCAAATTGAGCTAACAGAAAGGTATCCTGACAATTTGGCACAATAATCTGATAACTTTTCATTAGCAGTTCGCCAAATCTGAAATAGCCATATAGACAGATTTAACACAAAGAGGGTCAGTGCTAGCATAGTGGGCTTCACCAAGCAAATGTATAAGGCTATCTTTCACACATTACTATTGTTAAATGGCTACACTTTAAAAACCAATGAACCAAAAAAAAAAAAAACCCCAACAACCAACCAAAAAAAGAAAAAAACCCAAAACACAGAAAACTCAGACATTAGCTATCTTAAGTTTTAAGGTTCTAAATTAAAGCTTCTACATAGTCTATACCACTACAGACTGTTAAGGTTTTTAGGTCATTCAACCTATAACACTATAAAAATCAGGTCTTCCAGCCTTAAAGTCTAACATTAGCTACAAACTCCAGCAAAATCTTAACATACCTTTTGAGAGAAAGAGTATTTGCTATTTTGGGGTTGGGTGGAAAAAAAAAAAAAAAACAAACAGTGCTAACGATTTTTTGGGTTTTGTTAGGTTTTTCATTGGTTTTGTTTTGGGTTTTTTAGAGGATGACGATCTCCAACGTAGATTTTGTTAACTTCTGTCATTTAAAAGGCAGGTCTAATGAAGATTTTTCCATAGTAAACACACTCTATACAGTGTTTGAAACATCAGTGTTGATTATCACATAGTAGGACAGAAACAATTACAACAGACTAAGAAAAAACATGTAGTCTGCTTTACCTGCTACAGCCCAAGGAAATTAAATATTATAAGAATTGTTAATTTTTTAAATTATATATAATGACACATAAAATAATTTAAATTTTCTGAGGTATGACATTCTCTTTTTTCAAGTATCAGCTCAATTATTTCAGCATATTGCTTGGAGGAATATCATTACAACAATCAGAACAATAGTTTTTTGAGAATTTCAGAGTAGGGATTATATTAATAAATTTATTTTAAAAATTAGTAGACAAATTAATTATATAAATACATTACAAATAAAAGTAGTACTTACTTCATAAGTCATATATAAAGAGAGGGCTACCACACTAAAATTATAAAATGCCATTATCTGCCTAAGTTCAAAAGGTTTTTTATTTTCCATGAGTTTGGGTCCCAAGGACGTGACAAAATAAATGTAGGTTCCAATGATAAAGGTTGTTGGAAAAGGGGAAGACATGAGTGGCCAGCCTTCCAGTCTTGGATCTAGAGGAGGGGGGGTAAAAAAAAAAAAAGAAAAAGAAATCAGATCTTTACAGTTCTTACTAAATCCTGAAACAGTTACAGAAAGATACATAATTCTTAATGGTTTAGGTTTTGCTGTCACTGATGATGTTTCAGAGTCTATTCACCTCAAATCCATACTGACTGGGTAACAAGATAGAGCACCTGGAGGATTCAATGCTTCTTTCTGCATCAATTCTTCACATGTAATGAATAGGAGACACAGAATCGAGTGACACGATTTTCTGTTTAGAGCTCTCCTTCATGAAAAGTCTGTGTTTTCACACATGAATGGGGTTCAGAGGGCAGCATAGGATGGCAATGCACAAAGCAGATCACCCAGGCTGTATCACCACATGAGACTTCAGTCTTCTTGAAAAGCATGAACCTTATATCACAAGTTCAAGTCACAGAAGGGGAGTTCCTTGAGTTTTATAAGCAGTACAGCATTAGACTTAGTAAGCACAGGAATTTTCAAGTCTGTCCCATCAGTTGGTATTCATAGCTTAGTACCTGAGGCCTGTGACTATTCAGTGCAGATACACCACCACTTTCCCAGCACTGTAAAACACACACTTCACATTACAAGCCTCCAAACTGTAAATATGTTGCCAGTTGCTCTCCAGTTATCCTGGAAGTATTGATGAGAGTCCTCCTCCTATGCACGCCCCACTCCCTTTTCCCCTAGCTGAGTCTGGCAGGTGCTCCCTGAGCTTCACCATGATTCCACTGCACCCTTCTGTAGTTCATCACCAAGTCCCAGTTCAAAGACTTCCACATTTCTCCATAAGCAGAACTGATACGAACTTCATGTTTTGGTTTAATTTTTTTTTTTTTTTGTAAACTGACTTTTGGAAGATTCACTTCTGAATGACCCCAAACTTAATTGACTCAAACTGCTGTTTTCACAGTTTGCTGCTGTATTTTGGGGATGAAATTAGACCACTGGAATTTTTGTTAAGTCTGTAATTCAGGGCTAAATGTCTTACGTTAGTGATTTTCAACCTACAGCATTCAAGCAACCTATCACCCGTGAGACCCTCTGATGTTGTTTACAGTCACTGGAAGTTTTAAAACAGACTGAGGAGGAAAGCACATTGTAATGCTGCTCAGTCTGTAACGTGCCCAGTGCTGCTGCCCACAGACCAACAAGAGTTGTGAACCACAGCATTAGGCATTTGTATGTGTTGCTCCAGCAAGAAGAGAACCACCAGCTCTTCACAATCAACTGCTTTTTCTGCATTCAGCCCTTGCACTGGTACTACCAAAACTTTCTCATTGGTCTTCCAAGCTTGGTCCTGAGGAAACCATGTCCTGCCATTAACAGCATGCTACGAGATGCCAAATACAAGCATTGGTAGGCAGGGAGATGAGGAACTCAAATTCTGAAGTCATGGACACTGCAGCAGAAATGCTCCCTCACCCAGCTCTGTCCAAATCCACTCAACTCTGCAAGTCATACTGATAAAAATCCCTTCTCAGTTGCATGCTGTGGTTCTACATAACAAGAGAAATTGTTCTCAGCTGTACTGGAAAAGATAAATTAGTAATTTTAGTGATCAAACCTTAACCTCTTCTTAAATTGTCTCCAGGAGTTAGCTAATCCCTGTCACTATGTGCCTACCACAGTAAGGAACACTCAGGAATGCCACTGTGACAGATAGGTCCTAACCTCAAACTAGAAATGTTCTGTCATTTTTTGGTAGGCATGTACAACTACAGAACAACATTAAAGCAAAGTGTGTTTAATATCCACATACCACTTGCAATAAGAGACTAACATGCCTTTTCAAAATAGAACTGTCACAGTTAATTAACCGGAGGATTAATTTCAAGATACTGTAATTTAACAAGTTCTTTATTTCTTTCACTTTGCAAAAGCAAAATGCAGTAACAACATGCAGCTAGCTCAATCAACTGCTAAAATACCATTTTTCAGTACCTAAAAGGAGTTCAAGCTTTCTGTTCAGCAGCACAGGAGAAACATAAACTATGTATTCAGGCAAGCCAGAAGCTCTTACAGAAGAATCGCTGTCTGCACTTTTAGTCCGAGGTTATACCTGTAAACTAGCTGAATTTTGCTTTTTTCCTTTTTTAAAATAAACTAGTCTGTTCTTTATAGTTAAAAATGTCAATAAGTAACCTGGCAAATCTCAGAAACATTTACAGGAAGACAAAGCTACTTTAAATTGATAAACAGTACATCTAAAATAGCTACACAAAGCTACCCAAAATGATTGAAAATTAGTAAATTTCAGATTTAAATGACTCACCGGCATCTTTAATCCATTCATCATACAGTAGTACAGCCTTTGATGTCAGATTGCTAATGGCCATTTTCACTTGATTAAGATTTTATGATGCTGCCTGCAGGAAAACAAACCAAAACAGAAATATGGATTTTTGAAATAAAGGTCAGTAAAATGTTTCGGAAAAGATTTTCAGGCAACAGAATGGAAAAAAGATAGAGAGGGCTAACAAAGCACATGTGAAATACAGATCAGGTAGTGTTAGCTGACCACATAGCACTATGCTTTGGGCTAATTTATAGTTGAGCTGTTATGCACAACAATATGATTTCGTAACCTCTATATACCAAACAAGATGCTTCCATGTCATAAAGCATTATCTCAAGAAACCATGCTGTGGTTAACCATTACAGTTAAGAGGAAAATATCAATAAAGAGCAGCTGTTCAAATTCATTTTTATTACTCTCCACCTAAAGTCCAAGTTACTCATATGTGAAGAAGTTCTGCTTTGCAAAATGTACTGTTGAAAATTTTAATTTTCGAATAAGTATTTCTAAGGTAGGTGTGAGGGAAATAAGTTGCCAGTATGTCTGCATACTCTTTTTAAATACAATAATTAGCTATGTTATAATTAGAACACAAATCACACTCTGATGAATCAACTGTTTCCACACCTGGATCGTGAAGTGTCACAGCACCACTGGTAATACCATTAACTCACAAAAATTATCCAGCACATCCAATTTGCATGCAGCACCACTTATATATGTAAAACTTTTCAAAGAAGTATGCTTATATGAATACTAATTTTTGCTCTAAAATCAAGTACTCACCAGCCCTTCTCTTGCCTCATTCACCCTAGAAAACACTTTGTAAAAATCACAACACATTTGAAGGGTGTCTCACTTCACCATACGACTTCTCTCCATACCCCTGTGCAGTCACCTTTGTTAGTCCAGGCTGTAGCACACCTTGAAAACTAGCTCCTTTTCTCTGGCTGCCCCCCTGCATCTCCTCCAGGCTAAGCCAGCTGCAGCTTTGGAGAGACAGTTCTGCCCTCATGATGGTAATGCATCTCTCTCCTCAGATCTCCCCACTCCCACCTTCTCATTTGTCCTCACCTTAACACTCCTGAAAAATAATTTCACCCTTTTCTCCACTTCTATAAGTACCTCCTGTTCACTGCCATTTCACTGGAGTTTTTAGGCACTTCAGAGTACACTACACCCACCCTTCATCACAAGATGCAACACAGACAAACTTGCCTTCATCTACCCTTTCCCAATTCTCATTCTAGTACTCACTTGTTTTCCTGCTTGCACTTCTGTCCTGTGTCTGAACATCTGAACTTACCATCAATTTTGTGTTCAGAAAATATTCTCTCTGCAAAACTCTTTGAAGTCCACATTTTCCAGCATCAGCATTTCCCAGATCAATGTCAGTGCCTTTATGCTGACCATTTTTGCATGCCCTATGTTTATATTACAATGTGTGCTGGTTTTTGCTGGGATAGAGTTAATTTTCTTTATAGTAGATAGCATGGTGCTATGATTTGGATTTGTGCTGGAAACCTGATAACACAGGGATGTTTTACTTATTGCTGTGCAGTGATTACTCAAGAGTCAAGACCTTTTCTGTTTATCTCTCGACCCCATCAGCAACTAGGCTGGGGGTGCATGAAAAGTCAGGAGGGGACACAGCTGGAACAGCTGACCACAGGGATATCCCAGACCATATGATGTCATGCTGAGCAAATAAAGCTGGGAGAAGAAGGAAGGGGCAAAAGTTTGTAGTTAGGACATCTGTCTTCCCAAGTAACTGCTACAAGTAATGGAGCCCCGCTTTCCTGGAGATGGCTGAACATCTGCCTGCCGATGGGAAGTACAGAATCAGTTCCTTGTTTTGCTTTGCTTGTGTGCATGGCCTTTGCTTTACCCTGTCTTTATCTCAACCCACCTGTTTTCTCACATTTACACTTCTGATTCTCTCCACCATCTTGCCAAGGGTGAATGAGCGAGTGGCTGAGTGGGGCTTAGTTGCTAGCTGTTGTTAAACAACAACACGATGTTTGCTACAACGCTCTATATTTATAAAGGTGCTGGAAAAATCAGATGCAGGGGACAGACATCCTCTTCCTTTTCTAATGGAAATTTGAGTGTCTCTCTTCCTTTGGCACCATCAATCACACGATACAAAAGATTTTATGGGTAGAGACAAATTATAAATATCCCTGCCATCTTGCTTCATGAGCCAAAATATGGATGATAAACATATGAAACCCAACCCTGTCCTCAACACCAGGTACTTCAGACTGCCCGACTATGACAGCTAGGCAACTCAGCTGTAAGTAACTGGTGCTGTGGGGAAGGGTTAAAATCTGTATTTTATAAATAACTATTTTATTTTATTAGTTAGATTGATTACAATACGTTATCCTTAAAATCCAATATTCTTTCCATTTTGGACTCAAGAGAACAGTCTATCAAGAGGCAAGGCATAGCAAACAAGGTACCTTGTTCGGTGGCTATAATGATATTCTACCAAAGCCTACAGACACCTTGTGCACCGTATGGCTCAATGTTTCAATAAACATATTCATTGTATACAAATCACGTCGTATTTAATCAGTTCTTCAATGAGAAAAATAGTTCACCGATGTAACTGCCAGTCAGTTTTCCTGCTCTCATTCTGATGAAGATGGTACTGGAACTCAGACTGGCTAGCTCAACATGCTGACCAAAACATAAACGTGCAATGTAACATAAACCTAATCATGTACATTAAACATTGTCCTGGTTCAGCTAAGATAGAGTCAAGTTTTCCCCAGCAGAGAGAGAGGGGGAAGGGATCTCCAGCCGGGTTATTCATACCATGCTGATGTCAGGTCCAGGGGCGGAACCTTTTCCTTGCTCTTTAGCGGGCTCGGTGGGGAACCTTCCTTTCCGTAAACCAGCTACTGGTATTTCTCTGTATATCGTTTGTCTTGTTCACTGTTATTGCTGTTTATTGTTGTTACCATTGATATTGCTGTTGTTCAAATTGTTCTATCACTCTGTTGCATTAAATTTCTTGTTATTTTAGCCGGGGTCTGTGTCTAACTTCCAGCCCGAACGGCACGGGTGGGGGAGGGGCAACAGCAATGTGCTCTCTCATCCAGGCAAGGCTTAAACCCAGCACATTATTAATTGGCGCCCAACATGGGGATCGAAATAAGAATAAAAAGGGACAGACTCTGTGATAGAGCAATCTGTTGGGTGTGATTCTTTTTTGTATTTGTTTGATAAGAAAATGTTTGCGATGCTGGCCCACATGTTTGTGTGGTGCGGCTGGATTACTCCTTATATCCAGTGTATGATCCATGTGGTGGCGTTTGTTATGGGTGGAAAATGTGTAAAGGTTCTTATGTTGTTATACGGGCTACTGAACGCATATGCTGCCTTTGTATCGCTGTGGGTGGGGGCGGGCCGGTACCTGTTTGCCGTTTGGGCTTTTGTTAGAGGTCTCACCCCCTCTGTGGGTGAGCCAGGGGAAGGGATCCTCTTGGCTTTGGGGCGGTTCAGCCCTCCCTGGAGCCTGCAGGCCAGTGTGATTGTGGCACAATGCCTTCTGAATGCCTGCCTGATTTTGGTTCTGGCCATGCGGCATTTCTCTAACAACAGCAGTGCCCGGAAACCTGCCCCGAGGTCAGATAATAGTGAGTGGCAAGGGGTGTGGGAAAAGATGGGCAAAGGCCTGAGTCGGTGGGCACCCCCAATGCTTTGGAATTTCACTCCTGACCAAATGCAGAGCCCCGAGAAGCTGGTGGAGTGCTTAGAAAGGGTGTGTTACCAAGCTGGCAAAACCCAGGAGACACAATCGCTGTGATGTGTTGGGGACTTGCCCATGCCTACAGTGTCCTCTTTAATACCACCCGCTGCCCTCAAGGGGAAGAAAAGGCCACACAAACAGTATCTGAACTGGGGGCACAGGCAGAGCCAGTCTCAGTCGCCTCCACCAGCACAGCGACTGAGCCAGAGAGCCAGGCAGTGCCAGTGTCAGTCGCCCCGATGCAGAAAACCAAATATACCAGAAAGTCTGTTGGCAGAGTGAGGGATGCGGATGAGCCAGGCCCATCAGGGGAACAGGAGGAAGGGCCAGTGGTGATCGTCCGATCTCTGTCCCCGACTGAGCTGCGAGATATGCGGAGAGATTTCAGCCGCCTGAGAGATTTCAGCCGCCTGGGAGGCGAGCAGATTTGCACCTGGCTGCTCCGATGCTGGGACAATGGAGCCAGTGCTTTTGAAATGGAGGCGAGAGAGGCCAAGCAGCTGGGATCTTTGGCCAAGGATGCTGGCATTGATAGGAAAATAGGGAAACAGACTCAAACCCTCAGCCTTTGGAAGCGACTCCTGCTCAGTGCAAGGGAGAGGCACCCCTACAAGGATGATATCCTATGTCAGCTGGGCAAATGGACCAGCATTGAGAAGGGCATCCAAAACCTCATGGAACTGGCTGTGTTTGAGATGATCTATGGTGATCTGAATGATGAGCAATCACCCATGGACCCAGATCAGGCCCCTTGCACACACCTGATGTGGTGAAAGTTCCTGAAGAGCGCACCAGAAGCACACTCGAAAGCATTGGCAATAGTGTCCTGGTGGACAAACACCCACACTCTTAACAGTGGATGGAGTGGTTGGCAAGCTCTGGCAGTATGAGGGAAATCTCCCTTCATCTCAGCATCCCTGGGTCTCAGCTGTGGAGGAACTGTCTCAGAGGCTCCAGAAAATGGAAGAGGACATGTCCTACGTTCCACCTGCACGGGCTAGTGTCTCAGCCATTAGAAGTAAACGTTTCCCCACCCAAGAGAAAGGCAGCAGAAGGTACACACCACGAGGCACCCTGTGGTTTTTCCTCCGTGACCACGGAGAAAACATGAGGAGGTGGGATGGACAGCCCACTGCCTCCCTAGCTGCACGAGTAGAGCAGCTGAAAGGGAAGACCATCAAAAAAGGGGAGTCCTCCAAGAAGAGCGCAGCTCCAGTGTCAAGTCAGAAATCCCCCAGGCAGAATAGAATGGTGAACGTTATGTCTGACCCTCTTGAGGGGACCAGTAAATCATTCTTGCAAGAAGTGAGTGATGATGAGCAGGATTAGAGGGGCCCTGCCTCCAGCCAGGTGGAGGAAAGGGATAATCGGATTTACTGGACAGTGTGGATCCGATGGCCTGGCACGTCAGAC